TCGGTGACATCATTCTACAATGACCATATGTCAGCGGGTAACAAAGGTGTTGAGCTGCAATCGTTGTTGGTTTTAGTCCTATTATTTTGAGATTTCGTTCGTGCAGTTCATTGCCGCTTTGCCTTTATTTCCTTTCTTGTGATTGATGATACAATTAAGGAACACCAGTGGAACACAATGGCTTCCACGAGAGAAGCTACAAAAGAAATTAGGAGAGAAAATAAGCGAGGAAATGGTAGGTATATAGCCGGTACTTAGCTCATCAAAAGTTCCTCAGTTTTCGCTATAGGACGATGGATTCTGACTGATTATTATTTTCGTGCTTTTTTCGTTACCTTCATTTTACAGTACACGCAATTATTGGTTGCTTTCGATTATCTAGTAAGTTTGCCATCATCGTCAGTTGAAGAAAAGTTCATCATGCAGTATAGGTGAGTTTCCCTCCATTTAGACACATTCTTGCTTTCACAAGGTAATTAAGTATGCTAAAAAATCTACTCTGATTTGTCATAAAGTGTGTGAGTTTTTTTAGAGAGCCCCTGGCTGCAACCACACAGTCCAGACTTTTCGGGCCCGATATCCCAGAAGTTACAATTGATCCGGTTACTCAAAGGAGACAAGCGACTGTCAAGTAAGTTTCATGAAAAGAAGTGATTTTTCTGAAGTAGTCCATTTCAAGGACTCGTTGTAAGGATACGAAGACGGAAGTAACGGTCATGGATGCGGGTACTGGAAAATTTGACATTGACGGTCATGATCTCCCTACTTTTCGGCATTTGATAGCCAGGTACGACCTTTCAATCAAATTTATCATTTTCATTGAGAAGCTATGTAAATGGATTGCCCGTTAATCATCTGAGTTCGCAATTTTATTCCTTTACTGCTCAATTTCCTCATCTTTCGGAAAAACTGTTATATCATCTAATGGAAGTTCTTAGCTAGACAGCATGATTCTCTAACCGTGATTACATCTTATAGTTCTTGGATGCCGAGCTAGACTCCTACTCATTTCTTCACATTCTCTCTTGATTCGCTATCCACTAAGATCGTTGCTCACGACTGCCGTTTTGCACATGCATTTACTTTATCTCTTTTCTCCATCTTCCTCTCATGTGCTCAGCTCCACGTTATATTGGAAACGAGGCTTTTCCTAATTGTATTTTGTTTCTTGGAGATGGTGACATCCTTTAAAACTACCCTATTTTCAAGTGTATAAGCCGCATCTTTCTTTTTTTCAAGCGAGCTGCTTAGCCTCGTGTTTCTTCGCAAAGCATCTTGTGCCGTACAATTTTTTAAGCACTACGCAGCACGGTATAGGGTCCTTTGGTTTCTAAGTCCTTTGGCATGTTCGTGCTAGTCGATTTCAGCAACAAATCCCTGCAGCTTCACCTGAAAATAGAGTAGCGAACGCCAGAATTTGCCGAGACTTTGCAGTACACGTATTTAGGGTGTCTCATAATTTTTGTAACGTTTTTACCCCAGCATTTTCCGAGAATCACAAGGGGATCCCAAGGGTACAAATACTTGATCGTACTTCTGTATGTAAGAGCTATATGGTCGCGTGCTTGGGATGAGCTTAGGACGCCTAGGGAATTTGTCATTTTACTTTATTATTTTTTCCTTTACCTCTTTTCTAGCTAGGGAAGAATACGGAAAGTGTATAATTGAATGTTCAATAAAGCATATGCTAGGTAAATGGGTTATGATTTTTTTGGCCGGAGATACAATTTTTGTCAGTAAAGTTCGTTCTCGATGCTATCAGATTCCAGCTTAAAACTCCACGTGGAATAGGATTTTGGTAGACTTTTAATAGCCATCTTGTAGAGCTTGCTTCGCCTTGTAGAATAATACCCAAGCCGCCCTAATTAAACACGAGATACGAGAAGACGGCGGTTATAGTGAAAACGGTGAAAAATTATGCAACCCCTAATATTGTGGACTTTAAAAATCGTGCCGACGGTCTGCAGTGCGGCCAAT